AATGGTACTAGACAATTTACGTTGGACTGAGAAGGAGAAGGGAAAGAGAACAAATAGGACAGAAAAAAAAAAATACAAAGTTGGGGGGCAGGAAGGGCCGATAGCTTACCTGTCGCTCCCTTCTAGCGAATGCACTGATTAACCAGCTTTTCACATCAGAAACCTTCCTCTGGTGGACCGCCAATTCTTCTATACTGGATGGCGCGAATTGCTGTGCCCATGGCAAGGTTCTATGACCGGGTTGTAAAATACGCGATCCGGATACAGGTTGCTCGGGCGAAATGATGAATCGATTTGCTATCCCAGCAGACAGTTGTCTAGGTTGCGAAGTCTTAGTCGAATCATCTTGGTCCGAGGGAATCGCTCTGTCGTCCGCCAGAGTATCTGTATCAAATGTGATGTGGCGGGTGAATATCTCATCAAACGAATCATAATCATCTTCAATTATTTCGTTGCTGCTTTCTTTCCCATCCGTAGATTCTATATCTTGCCGATCACCAATGTCTCGCGCAAGTAATTGCTGTTTGGTGGTTGCGGGGCCAAAGAAGCTATGTAGGGAATTGTTCGTCGTCGTTGCATCCGCCGGATGCTTGCGTTTCATTTTCCCTGATTATTTGCGGTTTGTAAGGTAAATAGCCCAAGGCCAACGAAGAGTCTGAAGCCGGCTGTAATGCTCCAAACAATCGAGGAGAATGGGTAAGCAACGTCTTATTTTGAATCCTGCGCCTCCCGATTAATCGACAAGCTAGCTAAAACCGCCAACCTTTCGCGATGGGCCAAGATTTTCATGACCATTTGATGTGATAGAAGCGAGAAAGCGTGAGATTCACTGAGTAAAATGCATTTTTGGCATTGATATGTCCAGAGGCTGATATAGAAGTTTGAACAGGGAAGCTGTACTACGTAGGTGGAATATTGCAATGCGGTATCAAACTCCTGCTACTCGTTACCGCCTACACGAAACTGAAGTATTACCGCACTTCCTGCCCGCACGAGCCTCTCCGCCCGCCGCATTAGCCTTCATTTGGTATGACTTGGTGGACCGAAGCCAGAGTGACGGACGCAGACGCGTCGGCCGCCTTTGTGCTTAGTATCTGGCACAGATGGGTAGTTTACAGCAAAACTAACAAAATGCTCTGCATGACTTTCCCCGCTCATAGCTACATAGAGCCCGGTAGAATCTTCGAGCGATGGTTACATGCCGCTGTTTCCCATCTAGCTCGTTTGTAGGGAGTAAAGATTAAACCGAGCCTGCTTGAATTAATGGAGAAGGTGAATGGGGAAAAGGACCATGTACACGCTTCGAAAACAGAAAAGATACCGCATATAACCCTATCTACAGAGCATATAATTAGTGAATTTATAAGGTACGATTGTCCCACTAGTTAGCTGGATTCGCCGTTGATTAATATTAATAATCCAACCGAGCCAGCAGTTAGTCCCTGCGGTGCTTGCCCATACATTCGCATTATCGTCAATCAACACAAACCCCGCGTAAGACGGAGGTGCCTCGCAAGTATGTGTTGATAGGTAACAAAGTCACCGTCCAAGACGGAGTTGTTTCTATGAGCCACCAAAGACGTCATAGTAGTAATCGTCATCAAGGCCATCTCTCCCGGGAACTTGGGGTGCTTCACCTGCGAAGGCCACATCGTCGAAACGAACATTCAACAAACGAATCTTGAGCCCGTAATCGCTGATCAAACTTATAAGCTTGTTTGTCTCCGCGGTTATAGGCTGCTGGTTGAGAAGCATGAGTAATCCATCAAGCCATTCAGACGCAACACTAGTGGATTGTGGACAAAAGCTCAACAGCGCTGATTCTCCTTGCGCTGACCTGCTCGAGGTTCGACGATGGCCATTACTTTTTTGAGTGTCCCCAGTCCCGTGTACAGGCTGCAAGTAACCGTGCACGGTGATCTTAGTATAGGAAACAGCATGAGGCTTGTCCTTTGCAGGCGCCGCTGACTGATCTTTGGATGAAGCAGAGATATTAGAGACCACTGAAGATATCGATGAAAGGTCGACTGAAGGTGTAAAATGCAGTCAGCTTGATATCAAAAACATAACAGACCACGCGCGACACCAACGAAATAGACTTACTCTTCTCGGGCAAAGTATCGAGCTCTGGACAACTTTCAAGAATGGAATCGAAATCACCAAAATGTAAGAACCTCCTGTTGTGCGAAAGCTGTGCGTATTTCCACGAGCGTTGCTCGGTTCCCGCATCTGAACTGTTAGGATCCTCGTTGAGAAACCAAGCACCATGCAACAGGCAGCGGATTCTTTGTTCTTTGACAAATTGAAGTGCTTCGTGATACAGTTCTTCGCGCATCTGTTGCAGGTGTTGGCCCCAGGCGTCTTCATACGTAAGCTCCAACAACTCCATTTGCAGTTCACGGAGCCGACCATATTCAAAATTTCCCAGCTCTTCTTCCACTTCTTGCACATCCTTTGTCCGAGGAGCCCCACCAACGACAGACTCGATCAGGATTCGGATAAGCTCAACGATCTTCCCGTAGTCTTCGACTTCCGCTCCGGTAGCCTTCCACAGACGAAAGAAAGCATGTAATCCTGCTACATGCAATCTGGTCCAATGCAACAGTAACGGCTCAAATAACTTATCAAGATTAGAGCGAGACTCTAGTAGAAGATATCCTTTAGAATCATCCATCTCCGATTTGTCCACCTCAAAATGTTGGTACAAGATCGAAGTGACAGACAGTGAGGCACGAGCAATGGGACATCGCTGCTGAGGAGGCTTCGTGGACTGCTCCAGGAGCATTTTCTGGAACTCATCTTGATGATTTCTGACATAGTCTGCCAAATCCATCATTCCCAGGAATCCTGTATCCTCGAACTGCGTCGAAGGACTCTCTGTCTCGAAACCAAGACGCCTCCACTTCTCAGAGCTATGCTTCTTGGATTGTCGCATCTCATCACCATTCTCGACTCCTTTTTCATGACTCCGCTCATGTGAGCTAGCCAAATAGATCCCTTTCAATGCTCTCCTGTGCTCCGGCCTCTCCAGGTCCAGAGATATCTCTCTCCATTTCCTGAGAAGAACTTTGGTAAGAGATTGGAATTCAATCAATGGGTGCACGTGATCCTGCAAGGCAGTACCTTGCATGAGGGAGTAGACTGCTCTAATCACACCGAGATCTTGCAGTTTTTGAATAAACTTTGGCCACTCCGTATCTGCCTCGTTCGTGATCGAGTCGCGCATGAGTGAATTGATCAATTGAAGTGCATTTGCGCAGAGTGCATGGTCTGCAGACGAAAGTCTATTGACAAGCATTTCCAGGAATTGCGGATAAATGGCAATTGCAGGTTTCAATGCACGAAAGCCAAAATTTCCATCTTGTGATAAGTGATTACCTGAGTAAGGATGTGACACTATGGAGACTAATATGGACATTGCACCCCTTAGGATATTAACCAATGGGTGCGTCACTATAAGTTCAACAACCTGGAAAGAGAAGACAGTACGATATATCAGTATGTTACTATATAAGGTGGTTTGCAGGAGTAATATATAGAAAGGACAGAGAGCTTGTTCATATTACCTACTCTTTCAACCATGTCTTGATCTACTAGATCCCAGCCTTTGTCAACTTCTAGTAATCTGGCGAAGCTTGTGAGGCTATATGCCAAGGTATTACCACTTGCATGTAGAGTCAAGTAGCGTAACCTAGTGAGTCCGCCCTCTGCGATGAAGTTATCCGCAAAAGAGGGATCCCCAATGCTCCCCTGGAGCTTGAAAACTGCCATTTTGCGCACGGCATCTTCGTCACTTCCTAGCCTCTCAACTAGCTCGGAAATGCTGGTTTCCATGATGGAAAGTAGTAGTACTATGGCCCCTCTGGTCGCAATAGAGCACGGGCAATGGTCAAAGCGGGGGTATGCCAATCAGTAGCCGTGCCCGTTCTCTGACAGATTTTAATACAAGCAATAAATTCCGAGTAACATGGCCCTTCAAGGTCTTCAGAGAACGAGGCTTAAGGGAATCAGCACCTTCTATCGGTTGAGAGAGAATAAGGGAGGTGGGTTGCCAAGAGGTCCCAATGACGGGACTCCGTACCTGGACTAGATCGGAATCGGGCAAGTCGACCCATTAATGGACTCCAGGGTACTTAGCTGGATTACACTATAATTCTAAATTTACTACTTGTATCTACGTGTTAGGGGGGCCAACGGCCAGAACTGAAGGCCCAATTGCTCTGCTCTACTCTGTCAAGTGAATCAGATGGTGATCAAAGGAGCTTTGGCGAAATGATCATTATTACCTGGCCTCGTATTTGGGTGTAATGTGCACACAGGGGATATTGTGTGTCACAAAACTCAAGTACGGATACTAACTAATAATCTCCCGAAGATAGTACCCCTAATATCTGTCGGCTAATTACCCTACGCAGATGAATCTTCGGTCATCATAAAGGGCTGCTTACTAGACAATGTCGGCGATTCGATAGGAGGAACAGTCTCAATATATTCGATTAATTCATTGGTCCACCTGCGTATGCGTGAGCGACAGGTTTGAGTGAACAACGCTTGCCAATTGCTATTTCATAATTTCATGCAGGATGATATGGCAGGCTAAGATCTGCAGGGGTAAACACCTCAAGCATTGGACAACTGTATACGGGATACTCCGTAGATTACATAGCAATCTTGGACTGTGCTCATTTAACATCTCAATATGCAACTACGCTTCACTGCAAGATCATTCAGACATCATCCCTTCATAGGTTTAGAGCTTTGCCAGGCACTTGGTGAGGCAATTACGGAGTAGATATCTTGGATTTCAGCACGCTCGGCCATTGCAGGCTAGTCTCAAAGAATATATGTAGTTCTACTACTATGTTCACGGGGGAAGGAGTCTTTCGGTGCCACTATGGTCTAGATGCGACCGAGCAGTTAACTACAGAGTAAAAGGCTGACTCATTTAGATATGCCCAAAAAAAAGAAAATAAAGAAAAAGAAATGCCTTGAGAAGGCAACGTCCCGGGAGAGGATCGAACTCTCAACCTCACGATTAACAGTCGTACGCGCTAACCTTCAGGTGATTATTAGTAACCAATTCATTGGGAATGCGGCGAGGGTCAACGCTTACCAATTGCGCCACCGAGACCGGCTATGCGAGACTTGCTAAAATTAGTGATACATATTCAATTTATAAGAATGCTAGGTATACGATGCTGGGTATTTGGCCGTTCAGCCATGTCATATGGACAGGGTATCATATCAATACCATATTTTATCATCTATTACTCTGTAAGTTATACTCACTTGTACCGTAAGGCTACTTGGTTAGGCGAATAGAGAGAAGACATTCACGCCCTATGATTATTGCATGATGATTTATGACACAACTATCACTTTTCAGTCGACCACTTCGGACATAGTCGTTCTAGCCTACGGTTAGTGTGCAGTGCTCCACGGAGTATGGAGTACAGCTAGGATGCATGAATAGGATTGGTCTTGCTCCAATTATAACGCCAAAGGATCACTAGGCAGCCATTTCTTGCTTGCTTTACTCCGGAGTAGGCACTCTTACCGGCATCGTTCAACTGTTGTTCACAAACCTATTGGTTTGAGTGGAGAATAGCAACAATTGCCACGCACCTTGATCTTTCAGAACCACAAGGAATGTTTCACCTGATTAGAGATAGGTATCAAGCGTCCTTGTTATTTCTTTCATCAAAGACCACACTTGCCCTTTACATTGTGGTGGCTTCTTCTTCTCGTGCCCTATAACAGCTCACATACATACTCTATTTCTCATGTTGTGATTACTTTCCATACTTGCTTCATGACATTCTATCTTTCCCCGCCGACAAACCAGTCTGAATATTGTACAGCGACGACGGTTTATGATCCCATGCCACACCTCCCGATAATTCAATGCGATGCCTCTATCACAGCCCAAAACATAAGGAAGCGAAAAAGAGAACTTGCTTTGGCAGAAATTTCCCCAGATCTATCAAACAGGTCCGCAATTGAATCCTTCGAGCGGCCAGTATCGCTCAATGCAACCAGTGGAAGTGACTAATTATTATTCTTGATTAACTAGGCTTGTCTCATCGTCCGTTCATGACAACCCGCAATTCTGCTTAGACAATACAGGACGCTCAAGCGGCAGCGCAGAAGTTTTCACTCGTCAGCGATGTATTCACAGGAAACGACGGCTCTTCCAGCAGCCACCTGCTTACCATAAATCACCATTCGCAGATGGTATTTCTCACATTACACAGTCGGATTCGTCGCAGAACACTCGTATATCTGGAGACAGCTCCCCGCCAGTATCTCCTAAAACAATAACCCCAAGCCAATATCAGCAACCGCAAACATTCTGTGCATCTGCGTCTTGTCTTCGCCCATGTCATATTTGTCACCGGAAACCGACCACTCGAGAGTATGTTGACGCCTATGCAGATTGTGACCTCTGTGGTGGGAGAAGCTGCTACATCTGTTTACGGCATTGTGACTCTATAGATTGCAGTGGGTTACTCAGGACCCCTACAAGCAGCCTTCAAGAAAGGCCTGACGATGACGAATGGCAGACAGAGCGAGCACGCAAGGTTTGCTCTGCCTGTGCGATCGAAGGTATCGCCGATTCGGGCAAAGAAGTAATAAGATGCCTCGAATGTGTACGAGGCCTCCAATCCCAATGGCGAGCTCTCCATCTAGACTAAGAGAGCTGCATGTGGCCTTGGAACAGAGCCTTCAGGGACAATGTGAGACAGTATGGCCTAATATGGGTGGCTGACTCATTGAGGTTTTATATATATATATATATAAAAGACACTCTGTCCGAACCTTAATATGTAATTATAGAAGATAGAAGTTTTGATACCCAGCTTAGCAGATTAATGATTTACGAGGCATCCCCACACTTCTAGGCACTTACAATGGCAATGATTGATGAAGCAGGCATACAGCCACGAAGCACACCAGAAGACTGGTTGCATTTGAATCATAGCCAATGCTGGACCTCCTTGGGCTTCTCCCAGTGATTGCCATATCTTTCCAATCTTCTCATCCAGCTGATATTATTTCGGAGAAGGTATGATACGACCGTCCGATTGTGTATGTATATCGAGGCAAGTGCCTAGTATTTTTCAATTTCTAGATCCTAGCATAAAACTCCAGTATGTAACAGAGTCGCTTTGGACGGTGACAAAAGTTGCCTTCAACGGCCAAACCTCATTTGAGCGCCGGCGTAGTGCCAGAGGCCCCTGAGAAATCCGTGGTACTCAACAGCCTCGTCGGGATTCGCTATTCCACTGTTCCTACCACCGGTGCAGTACATTTCAGTAAGACGGATATGCCAAGGGGGGTACCCATCCAACTTCAAGAATGGACCAAAAACAAGGAGAAGATCGGGCTCAGGCTTCACTAGGGAAACATTGCGACTGAGGCCCATTCTTGCGCCGCCTTGAGAGACAGGTGCTGTCGTTTGGGTTGGCTGAGTGGTGATCTCACTGATTTCTGCATCGACCAGTTCCATAGTGATGTCCTCCGGAGACAATTTACCACTTTGGGACATCTCCGCCAATGTCTTAGTCAAGTCGACAAACGTTTCCCTGCCATCAGTAGCAGACAGGAGAAGCACTGTGAGAGAACTAGCATTGTGCTTATCAGACGGCGAAACACCTTGCTGTGTATCATAGATAGGGTGGTGGGGAGCAAACAGTCGCAGTGTAGGTTGTTGCGCCGGAGACCCATAATAAGATGACAACTTGCTCGTGATGGCTTGGTGAAGGACGGGAATGCAGGACTTCAAGACACCTATACAAATGCAACTGTTATTAGCCACGACCCTTCCTCCTATTTTTGCTTTCATATTGTGCGTAGAGGCTGAGGGCCTGGAAGCATCACTTACCGGTTTTCTCATAAATACTTAGGACAGGTATCCCAGAACTCACGCTCCAGGCTGAAAGTTCCGCCACTTCATCCATCAGAATTGCTAGGGCATCGTCTTCTTTGCGTAATGATAAGATGACGCTCAGGTGTTCGGGTAAGCGCTTCAGGCCTTTCACATCCTTTCGTATTAACTCTGGTGTGCGGTGGTGGTAATAGACGATGGCAAAGATTCGATCCACAACAGCATGGTAGCTGAGAATGAGTCGAGAAATGATCCCAAAGAAAATATGAACAACGGTGTATGTAAGTAGGTGCAGCTGCGACTTAATAAATGTCCGTATGGGCGTCTTTCGAGGAACCTTCTTGCGCCGCTGAAGTGGCCTGCGTGGAAGGTCAGACGGATCTGGCAGATATGGCCTTAGCAGACTCTCGCGCTCGGCAGCATTGAGCTTCGTTCCTCGCGAGCGAATATCATCCCTAAACAATTCTCTATCACGCTGCGAAACCATGTTCTAATAGCTGTGGGCGTTACTGCAGGTTGACTCCCAGGTGTTAGAAGATGGTTGAGGGGGTGTAATGCGTATGTGTACTATTGGTAGCAGAATAGTACAGTTCGGGGGTCCAAGCGGCCGTGGTAGTGGTGGGTCCTCACCTCCGAAGGACCGGATGGAATTCAATCTTGGGCAATCCCCAGTGCTCCGTACATGATCTGTGAACAGATGGACTGCGGACCATTTGGAAAAAGCCCTGAAGGTAGATATTATATTAGTGCACATTATACTAGCTAGATTGGCGGTGCTTGTATATATATGCACAGAGAGACGGGTTATCCTAGACGGATCTATATATAAACATATATATATCTTTTGTGATATCAGTACCACAGGCCGTTGTAGAACTGGTAACTTCTAGTCAATAAGCAGAACCGTATGGACGCTGCGTCGTCAGAGATACTAGGCGCAAACAAATATAGATACTATCAAATCCCTTTGAATCATTCGACCTATGTTGTTACCTCCACGTTCCGAACAATGATAGTCAGAGCAGAGTATTTGATAGTCCTACTGCCTCCAGGATACCACCACTAGGACAAGGGACTTACACGGTCAATTCGATGAGGAAATAGCAGATTATGACGCGTTTACAAGATGGGGTCAGCAGTAATGCGGCAATGCTTGTTTCGTCGTTCAGTTGCCTCCGAAGCTATGCAGTTATGTAATCAGCTAGGACAGAAAGCTATCTTATCCCGTCCCGATAATGGACCACATATCTAGTACTCCGTACTTGGGCTGCCCCGTAATTCTCATTGCCCTCTCCGCATTCACGGTGCATTCAAGGCCATCCGTTGACGCTCATGCTGAAGTCCATACCGCCCAACAATACATGCTGATATCAATGCAGTAGATTCAGCTTACAGTTACAAAAATGCCGGACGATGCGTCCACGATTACCCCACTCAACGCTGCATCTCGATCAGTGTTCCCAACAGGTCCCAGCTTCACTCTTGAGGACTTCTCAAGTCGCGACTTCATTGTCAAGGAGTTTATCGAGGCGCTTTCGGACTCCGCTATTTCGAATCGTCGCTCTACCATCACGCCCACAATCGGAAACCAGCCGTTTGACCCGAAGCCACTTATCAGAACTCTCGAGCATGCACAGCGGCGACTCGGTGAAATCTCCGGCGATCTAGAAATCAGAGAAAATGAACTGTCTGCAGCAGTTCGCCGGGCTGAGGCACAGCATTCGCAGAACCTCAATACACTGGGCAAAAAGCTAAAACACACAATCGAGTCTTTTCAGCAGCTCGACACCTCGCTCAATGGTGCTGGGCTATCAGGTGTAGAGCTTTCCGGGGCCACCGGAAATATGGCAGTCGAGACAGGAAAGAAATTAGAAGAACTAGACCGCCAAAGACGCCGGGCGCTTGATGCCCGCTTTCTGCTCGAGTGTTGGGATGGTGTGAGCAATAGAGGCGAGCTAACGCTTCTAGAGAATCTGAGACGTTCCGGAACTGGTGAGGCTAAAGTCCGGTCGGCACAGATCGCGCGGCAACTGCTTCGAATAAGTCAGAGACTAGATACCGAGAGCTGGAACGATTCGAGTGGAAGGAACGCCGGGCTCACCGGAAACGGAGTCATATCTGCAGACGACAACATAAGTGGAAAAGGGAATGGGACCAGACGAAACACTCGTGAGATTATCGAGAAGTTTTCTGAAACCTTGGAGAACGATTTGTTAAAGCAATTTGACGACTTCTACCGCAAG